ACGCCAGCCCTTGCAATTTGATGGGGGCACCTGACCGCCCTACTGCAACCGTACACGTGGCTATTACTATTCAGGTTGCCGCTATCATAAATGATGCCAAAAATTGGGCACGTCACCCAAACCGGCCATTCAATAGTTGACACACGTGTACTTTAGTTTTCTGCTTTCTCCACCCCAAAAAAAAAAAAACTTTTTCCATGGACAGGAAGATCTAATTTGACTATATCACTCCTTGTGTTTTAGATATTATATTAAGATTTCAAGTAATTAAAAAAAAACATTTAATTTTTTTTATATTAATATATTAAAATAATTAAAAATATCAAAAAAATAAAAATTTAATGTATTTTTAAGTTAAATATACTTTTAAAACACCCAAATATAAAAAAACAAATGGTAGATGGATTCAATATTGAAAAATCTAAAATGTATAAAGAATTAATGTCGGTCGCAATTCATAAATGTTTATAGGGTTGAAGAAAAAGGGGTATTCCTCTTGTGCTCTATACAAAATATCTTATGCTTAGTACTAGTGCCATTAATGCCCATTAACTTTGGTAATATAATTTAATGTAAAAATCAGCACTTAATCATGATCTTGGAGAGCTAATTGTGTCATTATGAAGAGATTAATTGTCGAAATTTCTTTCATTTGCAAATACTAGCAATAGTAAACATAGAATAGCATCGTGCACGAGAAATATATCATTTCTAGAGGAGCTGAAATGAAGCACTGCTTACCCTTTTAGAATTATGGCAAAATTTGCTTTAAATTACTGTAATTAAAATTAAATACCTGAAGCAAGGCGTCTTGTGATTCCCAGTACAAGGATCTTTCCATGGGGTCATGCAAGTTGTTGTCAGACTCGTAGTCGTCTTCTTCCTCCATAGAGCGACCAGACTCCTCGTCAGCAAAATCTTCATGAAAGAACACAGAAACCTTCTCTTCAAGGCTGTCCATGCGTGCGTTTATAGCTAGCCAAGACCCTTCTCCTCCTAATGGTTATTGCCTATCTCCTGGATATGCAAGAGAATTATTGAAGGATAGAAAGGAGAAAGGAGAAAGGAGAGCACTAAGAAGAGCTCTTGCAAGAATATTGCCTTCAGGAGAAGTGTATTTATAGGGTTTACCTGCACGTCGGATAATAAGTTAATTACAATTTTTTATTTTAATTTGAAAGGATTTTCGTGGGTAATTAGTAGTTTTGCTAATAATAAACATTTTAGTTCCTTAATCACCTACAAATTGTTGTGCTTTGGCCCCCTTGTTAGCGGGAAAAAAAATGATAAGATTGCGATTATAAAAGTAATTAACATTTATTATTATCCACCAAGCTTCACATGACAAAATAAGGTAAAATTAAAAATTATTCCTTCCCTTTCTCGAAAAAAAATATTTGATTTCTAAATCAAATTGATTGATCAAATTAAATGACTCCTTTAATCTTATCTTAAATGTCTCCTTTGATTAAAAAATATTGTCTCAAAAGAAAAGAATTAGAATCTCCTATACACGATTTTAATATTTTGACTATTCATATGTTAATTATTTAATGATTTAATTATATTATCATAGTCTTATCCTTATGAAGACGTAGTCATTATGATTATAATTATGTTTATTTATATTGTGTTTAAGTAGTGGTAGTAATATATCCATATCCATAAAAATGCTTAAATCATAATTTGTTTACTTTTTATAGCATTTTTTTTTTCCAAACCGTATGAATTTTTAATTTGTTTTATTAGAATTGAATTTAGAGATTTTCTATGCTAAAGCTAAATAAAAAAAGTAACAAAGATTTGAAAAAATATAAATATTTTAAATTTAAATTCTTATTCACTCCTGATTTTTTAATTAAATACTATTGTATGACTTGATTTCATAATTTTTTTTGTATGAATTTAAATAATAGACAACTCAACTTCTATATTATCATTTATAATCAACAACTCGAAGGATCTGAACAATGGATTGTTCAAATGTAAATATTATCTTTTTAATATTTTTTTGTTTTTATATCTCATAGATATTGACGTAGTGAAAGACTAATAATGAAAAAGAATCACTATCTTTTTTCTATGATTTGCTTGAATCTATGAGTAAGAGTAAAATACTTGAATCCATGAGTAATAGAATAACATTTCTGAAATAAATTCTTATTCAAAATTAAACATGACTACAATAAGGGGGTTGCTTGTATTTATAAGCTGCCAACCTTAATTATAATAAGAGAATCACCTTAATTATAATAAGAGAATCACTTACGGAAATAAAAAGCAAAATAGAAAAATCCATACTAGTGATATAAATCAAATTCCTAAATTTAAGTAACAATATTAGCAAAATAGGACGCTAAGATAAGAGTCTATGTTAAATAAGGGAAAG